TTTAGCATATTTACTTAGGACCAACAAAGTTATGCTCGACGATATTTTTTATATTCAAACTCATTAATTATTGTCTCTATATTGACAAGGCCAGCAATATTTTTCTCAACATAAATAATTAAATTATTTGTAAAAAACTCATTATCCATTTGATTTTAGAGTCTTATTTTTACAATTTTCATTGCTGAAAAAGCTCTCTTTGTAGTTGCTATAAAAATAAAAAAAATAAAAACAAGGAGTGGTAATTTTTTGACTTTCTTCTTTTTGCTAATCTTTGACACAATTCAAAAAATATCTTAATATCTTCAAAACTTGGGTGATAAGGTATATCAAGCTCATAATGTCTCCATTGTAACCTCAAAAGAAGTCGTTATTGCTCTGTGAAATCTTGAGAATAAAAGCACTCTGCTAACTTGCAGATATTGTCAATATTGAATTATTTGTAATTGTTAAAATAAAAAAAATAAATTTAAATTAGGATAAAATTGAGTAAAATTTGTAAAGTCATTTTATTATTTATTATTTGTATTAATTATAAAATGAAAACATTATTGTGAGGAGGTCAAAATAAAAATATTCAAAAATTTTGAAAAAGTCATTGAAAAATATATATAATTAAATAAAAATTTTCAAAATTTTTGACCATAACACTTTGCCTTTGAATCCACCATTGATTTCTTTAACGAGCATGTAGCTAATTGCCAACAAACCCATTGGACCAATGAGTTTATATCCATAGTAAAAACAAACATGTTTTCATAGTTATCATTTTCGTACGATACACAATACGTTACGATACTAGTAGAAAACAATACATAGCTATAATTGTATCGCATTTGATCAACTATCGAAAGCATATCGTGCGATACACAATCCATATCTTACGATACGGGGGCATATCATACGATATAGTCAATAAACTTTTTTATAAATTTAATTCTAATAAATTATTAAAAATTTTATTTTTTATTATTTTTTTAGTTGAAACATGAAAAATTATTTTCTAGGAGTTTCCACTTTAAATTTTAAATAAAAAAATACTAAAAAAATCGAATTCCCTTTTAATTTTAACATGATAAATGTTCTTATTTTTTAATTAATAAATTAATATAAAAATATATTTTTTATTCTAATCAATTATTAAAAAATTAGTTTTTATTATTTTTTTGAGTTGAAACATGAAAAATTATTTTTTATGAGTTTTAATTTTTAGATTTTAAATAAAAAATACTAAAAAATTGAATTTTCTTTTAATTTTAACATATATATGTTTTTATTTTTTAATTAATAAATTAATATAACAATATACATTTTATTTAAAAATCTATATTATCAAGGAATATGTTAAAAGTTTAAATTAAAAAAATAATCATCTTTTCAATTTGCATCCTATAATCTTCAATTCTGTTAAAAATTATAATAATTTTCAATTTTTTCTTTATTTTACATATATAAATATTATTTATGATTAATTTTAAAATTTTTTTATTATATTTTTTGATACAATACTTGATGCTAAAATATAAAATTTTGATATATGATATATACCTCAATTTAACAAGAAGTACACATGTTTATGAGGAGAAGCTCATGGAATGCAATCTTTTTTTGGTCAGTCACCACAACCAAGGCTTGCAAGTACTCGAGTTTTGACTTTTCCAACTCAACTGCAACTGTATATGTTCTCACCGCTGAAGATCGAGTTCTGCAGCGCAAATGTGACATTCAGATTGATTAACCCGAGTCCATGAAGTTTCACGACAATGACGTTTTGGTCTTCCTTGTCACCGATTTGATAAGCCTCTTTTCTTGTGATTTAAGAATTAACATAATTTTTCTTTTTTTTTTTACCATGAGCTTTAATCAGAGGACACATGACATTTTTTAGATGTTGGGGCAGGAGAGGAGTCAGGAAATGAAGGCTGAAGATTTGCATTCCTCAAAGCCTTTGATGATGTGAAAAATATAAAGAAGCTGTTAACTCTCTAATTTGTATAATTCTGACACTTTACATGGACTAAATTGTAGCTGTATAATTCGACTAAAAGGATCCAAATTGTTTGACAAACATGGAAAGGCTCTCCCGGTACACCAGTCTTCATTATTCTTAACTTCTTCATTTAAAGCTTAAATCATAAAATTAATTTATTAGCAAAAAGGCCAAAACCAAGCCAAAGCATGTAAAAATATATTAATGTCCAAACCTAAAGTCAAAATGTCAAATGGCAACATATATCTTTGGCGAAATTAGCCATGTGTTTACCTTCCCCTTTCACATTTGTGCCACCGTACCTAACAGTCTTACCCTTGGCTGAGTGCTTTAATCAAGTCAAGTTACCAGCTACTTTCCTTGTCAATTCTCAATACATCATCCCCAGCATTTCTATATAATAAACACCTATTTTGAAGCGTACGCTCAAAACTGCAGATGTTTCTGCTTCTGGTTAGAGAGATTAAATAAACCATGGCAAAGAGTGATGTGAAAGTTTTGGGTTCATGGCCGAGCCCCTATGTGATGAGGGCAAGGATTGCCCTTAACATCAAGTCTGTCAACTATGAGTATTTTGAGGAGAGATTACGGGAAGGTAAAAGCGAGCTTCTTCTCAAATCAAACCCGGTTCACAAGAAAATTCCAGTCCTCATCCATGGTGACAAGCCCATCTGTGAGTCTCTCGTTATTGTGCAATATATCGACGAGACTTGGTCTTCTGGTCCTTCCATTCTGCCTTCTGACCCCTATGAACGTGCAACCGCTCGTTTTTGGGCTGCCTATCTTGACGAAAAGGTATTCATAGTTTGTTCATGCAAAATCAGATAGTATATTTCACAGTTGACTGGCAATGTATCTTTCGGTAAAAAGCTGCAATTTTTGTATTTTTTTTTTTATTGTGGTGGGGTCAAAATACTTTTTTTTGTGCAGTGGTTCCCATCCATAAGAAGTATTGGTATGGCTCAAGGAGAGGATGCAAGGAAGACAGCAATAGCGCAAGTGGAAGAAGGATTGGTGCTGTTGGAAGAAGCATTTGGGAACTGCAGCAAAGGGAAGCCATTCTTTGGTGGGGACCAAATTGGGTACCTTGACATTGCATTTGGATGCTTCTTGGCCTGGCTCAGAGTCACTGAGAAGATAAGCGGGATCAAGCTGCTTAGTGAAGCCAACACTCCTGCTCTGCTTAATTGGGCTGACAGGTTCTGCTCTGATGCTGCTGTGAAGGATGTTATGCCAGACACTGAGAAGCTTGCGGAGTTCGGTAAGATGGTTATAGCTAAAATGAGGGGTGCGGCTCCTCCCAAATGATGAATTCTATGATTAGATGGCAATAGAAGCAATAGAATGGGTATGGTGTACTTTTTTGCACCGACGTATCTCTAATCTACTATCATCTATGCGCTGCTTGGAGAGTGGAAATAAATTTTCGTGGAATGCAAAATAATCAAGTAACTTTTCTGTCGTCGTCTATGTCTATAGAGATAGTTGTTCTGTTGATGAAACAAAAACATAAGCCAGTAATGAAGCTCTTTAAGTTGAATATAAGTTTCACATAAAGATTAAAAGAAACGCCATTTCCTTTGTTCATCGTCAAGCCAGAATACTTACTCGAGATCATTGTCCTGAGGCACAAGCTCTCCGCAATGGCCTTGTATAATAAATGTCGTCATTTAAAAGTTTGTGCAGTACCCGAAATTTTGTAGACCAGTTGTTAGAAGTAGGAGGACGGGCAGCGGACAGCGGCTCCCTCGATAGACAAGCTAGAAGACTAGGTCTTTTTCCCCTCATATCAAGTAATTATGCTGGCAGGCGGCACCTCACACCAAGTAGCCCAATTCTTCAATGGCGCTAAGCCTAGGCGTCGTGTTGCTCTTTTTTGGTTTCGGTAATTCATCTACAAGTTTCACATTAGATGGATGCATGGGATGTGATTCAAATTAAACCGTGGACGGTTTAAAACGGGGTATTCAGATATATTACTATGATTTGACAAGAAATAGACAAACGTCTTTGGATTAGTTAATATTACAAAACTTATACTATAATATTATGAAGGAAGATGAGAATTGAGACTTTGCCTCTCTTTAAACTATTTTTTTAAACAGGGTAAAGGTTATTTTAGTAATTTTAATTTTTAATTAAAATACACATTGATAATTTTAATAATTAGGCTAACCTAGTAATCCTCTGTTTGATTTCCTTTTGTACTTTATTAGATAATTTTGAATATATGCTTAAGCTCCAACTTCATTTCTCATGACCTTTTCCTCTCTATTATTCTAATTTTCTTTCTTTTACTTAACCATTTTCTTATATTAATTGTAATATATGCATCAGAACATTTTGTTTAGTAATTAGTGATTGATGTATGGCTTTTAAAAAAAATAGAATTCAACTCCTTTTATTTATAAATAAAAACATGTTGGTATATACGAAGTCATCTTTTTTAAGCTTCTCACCCATGACTAGGTGGCAGAAGACCTGTTAAGTTACTAGTACTTGTTTTCAATTTTGATGAGAAAAATAAGAGTGAAGATGTTAATAAAGGCAGATGGGGAACACATGCACGTCAACAGCCCCATTTTCCAAGAAATCAACAGGTCAATAACCTATCTTCGCAACAAACCTTCTCCATGAAACAAATTTCCATTTAATTTATTTATTATAAATGAACAAGGCTTTTTGTGATAGGGAAAGGAAATGTTGCACACAAATAAAGGATGTACCAGAGGCGGCAGAGAGGAAGATCAAAGCAGTTCCTGAGATACTCAATGTTGTGTCAGGAGAAAGAGAATAAGAAGAAAATAAGTAAAGAACTAAAGGGAAAAAGAGAATTAGAGAGAAGAAGCTTGAGTGAGAATAAGGTAGTTCTGAAAAAGTCTCTCTAATGAATTGTGAAGGTTTTATATATAATGTCAGAAATGACAGTAACTCAATAATAGGCTCTAATGCACATAATGAACAATGGCTTTAATATTGAATGATCGTTATTGAGTTTTCAATGTTGAGTAACAGTTAGAAATCTATTATATGACAACCAAAGTAATGTATTTTATTACTGTTAATAATACAACGGGATTTATTCTTGAGTAGAGGATAAGTAGGAAAAGTTTATAAGAAACACTACACGAGAATAAGTTAAGAGAAGAAGATGTTCGTGAACAAATACGTGAGAACAAGATAAGAGGGAGACACTTGTATTTAAAGAAAATGTTAAAAGGAAGAACTCTTAACTACGTCCATATCTAAGCCACCAAGCTAAAATCTCTGAAACATCCCAAAATGAAAGTAACCTGTGAACTGCCACTTATGCCAAGTTGTTTTCACTACCCTCCATGTGAAATAGTTATTTTGTACGAAGTAGTTGTTCTACTTGTACTAGTTGTTCTGTATGGAGTAGTGCTCCACTTATTTTAATTGTTCCACATAAAGTAGTACTTCACTTGTAATGATTATTCTTATTCTTCTCTCTACAATATGATGTTATAAAATAATTCTTTAAAGAATAAGTATTAACCAAAATCAAGTATGTATATTTTTAAGAATTCTTAATTAAAAATAATTGTTATGCATTAGATTAGCAAAAAGTTTTATTTTGTACTACAACACATTGTACTGCAACACCTTGGTAATAACTCTAAGTTTTAGAGCTATTTAAGCACATTTGGAGTATTAAATTGGCTAAGTTCTTGATATTTAGTTTAAGAATTAGGTACTTTTATTTATTTGTTTTAGTTTGGTAAATTATGTTGGGTTGACTTAATTTAAGTTATTTTATTTTAGTTTGATGATAATTTGCTTTTAGTTTAGTTATTATTGATTAGTTTGTTACTTTGGTAGGTGTGCAATGACAAGGGCTTAAATTGTTAAAGAAAAGTGCATAAAAGGTCCATGCTTTTCCTGTGCATGTTCTAGTATTTTGAGCATAACTTTTCATTCTAGAAGTCCAATTGACATGATTCTTGAGCCAATGGAAAGCTAAGAGACAAGGTTACAACTTTCATGTTACACTTTTCCCAGTTCATCTTAGGAGAAGAAGAAAATTATGTCACAAGTTGAATTAGTGCAACAAAGCAAAGAAGACAAGACAGAACCTTGGGTGCTATGGCCATGGATGCATAGGTGCTGCTGCGTCGTGAAGAAGAAGGTTGCACGGGCTAAGATAGAGAGCTCAATGCCACGGTGCTGAGGAAGTGGCGTCGCAGCATTGACATGATATCTCGAGTAGAGACAAATTTGGGAGTTTAATTCGAGTAGGATTTTAAGCCTATTTAAAGAACCTTTTAGAGCACTTGAAGGCAATAATTAAGATATATTTTCTTTGAAGAAAAAAGAGCCATCAAGCAAGTAAGAAAAGAAAGAAAAACTCTTACAAATTGAAGATCGAAGACTTAACAAATCTTAGTTTTCTTTTATTCTTTAGTTCTTTTATACTTTCCTTGTTTTGTATTGATGGTTAAATTTTCTTGGATAATGTTTTTAGTAGTTATGAGGAACTAAATTTCTTTATCTAGAATTGTAATGGAACACACCATGTAGTTTGAATTTTTTATACTTTTCATTGCTTATGCTTGATATTGTTTAAGTTGTTTATCTTAGTCTTGTGGTTAATGTGTCTGATTAACTGGTCACCAATTAGATAGATAAGGAAACTTAAATAGAACAAGAAGAGGGAATTTAGTGTAAGCCTTGGATGACATAGTACATGTTCAATATTAATTAGAGAGTTAATTGTCTTGATTCGCTTGTAAAGTAAGAACACACTTACACTTCATATGTAGCCATAATTAGAGTCTAAGATTAATAAGTCTTTCTTAATTTCAATTTGCATAGGAACAGGATAAATTGGTTGAGAGAGCTATTTTATAAGAACATCAAAAGAAACTTATAAATAAATTAGAACTCGAGGTTAACAAGTCAATTGTCTAGTAAGTAGAGAGAGAGTAGAAGAGATTCAAATAAAGTGTTGAGGGGAGATTGTAATCCTAGGCTTTTTCTTATTGATTTATCTAGTTTAAATTGCTATTCTTGTTATTATTTTTAGTTTTCAGTAATTTTGAATATGGTTGTTTGAATAATATTAAGCTGTGTTAATTTTAGTACTTTACTAAATTTTGGTGCAATTCCTTGTGGGAATGATAGCCTACTTTTCATTATATTACTTGTTAATGATACGTGTGCTTGCATGGTAAATTTGATAACAAATTTTTTGGCACCGTTGTTGGGAAATTATTTTCATAATTTTTTGTTAATAGTAATACCAAGCAATCTTATTCTTAATTCAAACATTCTTTTCTTTGTTTTCAGGTACTTTTGTTCATTGTATGCAAAAAATCAAAGACTTGGAAATTGTTTCTTTTGATTTGGAAATTGAAAAGACTTTTGGAAGACTTCTAAGGGAAAACCGAAAAGTTTCAACTTAATGTGACACAATGGTTGATCAAGAACAAAACAAGTCTTTATGATAATATGCTGTACTTCTCATACAACGCCTTCAGTCTAGTGTCTATAGACCTACCATCCAAGCTAATAACTTTGAGACTAAGCTAGCAATCATTCAAATAAATTAGACCTCAGTTCAGTTTAGGGGATTGCCGAATGATGAACTTAATACACATATTGTGACTTTCTTGGAGGTTTGTGATACATTTAAGACTAATGGCATTTCTGATGATGCCATTAGATTGAGGCTTTTCCTGTTTTCACCAAAAGATAAGGCAAAAACTTGGTTAAATTCGCTTCCAGCTTGTTCCATTCGTACTTGAATTCTTGGGTAAGTTCTTTCCACCAACTAAGACAGCAAAAATGTGGAATAATATCACCTCGTTTATGTAATTTGATTCGGAATCAATGTATGAGGCTTGAGAGAGGTATAAGAATTTATTTAGAAGATGTCATCACCATGGGTTACCTAAATGGTTGCAAGTACAGACTTTCTATAATGGTTTTCTGGGACTAATTAAAACCATCATTGATGCTGCAATAGGAAGGGCCCTGATGGCAAAATCTATTGATGAGGCATGTGTTTATCAAAGGAGATGGCTTCCAACAATTATCGACAGGCATATGAGAAATTGGATGTAAGAAAAGTTGCTAGTATTCATGAACTTAATGCAATTAATGCCTTGACTGCACAAATGGTTGCTCTCACTAGGAAAATTGATACATTCGGTGTCTAAGCTATTTTGAGTCATTTTGTGACATGTGAGTTAAGTGGAGATAGGCATTTTAGTGAACAATGTCTTATTAGTGATGAATCAATAAAATTTGTTGAAAACTTTAATAGATAGTAGAATAATCTGTACTCAACAACTACAATCCTGGTTAGAGGAATCATCCTAGTTTCTTGTGAAATAACAAACAAGAATTTTCATCAACATCTAAGCTAAACTTTCCTCCTAGATTTCCACCTCAAGTTAAAGCTCCTATGCTTGAAAAAAAGTC